AAACTAATATTAATTTTTATATATGATATATTTAATTTTTTAAGTAATTAAATAATATATTAATAAAAATGTTTTATTTAATACTTATATAATAATTTATCTAAAACTATTTTTATTTATTTTTATATCATTATTTATTGATTTAAGTCTATTATTTTAGTTTATTTATTTTTTTAAAAAAAATTATGTTTTATTTTATGATAATTTTTTATTTATTTTATGTTTATTAATAATTAAATTTTTTTTTTTTTTTTTCTAATATTTTTAAATTTATTTATATGAAATTAAAAAGAAATTATTATATATGTATTAAATATTTAGAAAAAAATAAAAAAAATACTTATTTAACAATAATTTAAAAATGAGAAATTATCTTAATTATTCAATTTTTTTTAAAAAATAATAAAGTATTTTTATAAAATACAAAGTTTTCTATTAATATTACTAAAAATAAATTTAGATTAAATAATAAGAAAAAATATTATGTATATATTATTAATTATATATTTTTTTATATTAATTTCTTTTAAAAATATATAGATAAAATTATTTAAAAAATAATATATATTTATTTAAATTTGAAAACGAAAATATGTAATATTAAATAAAAAATAAAAAAAAATTATTTAATAATAATACATATTGTTAATAATTGAAAATAAAATTATAGGATTTTAAAAAATAAAAAATTTATTTAATCATATAAAAACAATAAAAAAAAAAAAATTTAATTAAAATTTAAAAAAAAAAAATTATTTATTATATTGTATCGATATAAATAAATTAAAAAATAATTTTATTTCTATAAAAAAAAATATAATATTAATATATATATATATATATATATATATATATATATATATTTATATATTTATAAATATTTATTATTTATAATTTTTTTTTAATTACTTCATATATATCTTTACTTTTTTATTTTAAATACTAATATATTCTTTTTTTTTATTATATATTTACTATTATTTTTATATTTTTATTACTTTTTAATATATAAATATAAAAAAAAATATTATTTTAAATAATTAAAATAATATAAAAATAAAAAGATATTTTAATATTATAATATTTATTATTATTTTAATATTATCATTATTGATTTATTCTTACCATTAATTTCTTTATATAAGTAAACAATCACAAAATTATTATAAGATAATGTATGATAATATGAAAAAATTTAAATATTGTGAATTTAAATAAATGTTATTTTATATGAAATAATGACTTGTACAGAAGCATCCACTGATATATTTTTTCTATAATTATGATTGAGACTTTAATAGATACAGGTTTTTACTCTTAAGTAAATATGAATATATGTTTATTCATTTAATATATTTTGTAATATTCTTAAGATTTGAAACGATTTCCTTAGTTTGTTAATACTGTAAGAGTATACTGGATTTGTTAAAAAATAAGAAATTATATACATTCAATAGTTGTATTAAATGCAATCCTGAATTTTAATATAATGTGCTTTCATAAATAATGCAAAGAAATCCTTACTAAAGGTGGAAATACACAGGTATAACATTTCCTTTGTTAGGATGTTAAAAATAATAAATATAAATAATATTTTGAATTTTAGAATTGTTATTACATTGATGCTTTCAATTAATAATGTGTTTGCTGTCTTACTTTATTCAATTATTATGCAAGATGTAATGAAGATGATTACGAAATATACGATATGTGTCATAATGAATATTAAATAGGTTAGTTTTCAAGATAATAAAAATAAATCAGATCAGATTTTCTATATTTTTAGTTTTTTTTGAAGCCGATGATTAATAATAGAGTAGTAATTAAAGAGTCTTGGTTTATTTGGTTGTATTTTATTTATATAATTATTTAGATGAATTATCGCCTTAAGCCTAAAGTAAAAATTTAGTATGTGGGATTAATAAGTATTTTTTTTACGTCCACAAAATTAATATCCCATAATAAAATTATTGTATTTAAATTAATTACTTGAAATTACTACTGCATTTGTAATATAAGATTTATTTAATACTTTTTAAAAATATAAATCTTAATTAAAAACATCTAAACACTTATAACACATTTTCGTATGATTGGATGATGTAAATTCTTTAAGCAAATCATTAATTCTATTATTTTTATTAACTTTAAACTATGTTTATTTATAATAATAATATTTATATCTATGAATACAACTAAAGCAATGACTTGAATTACAAATCAGGTCATTAATTAACACAACTACCATTAATACTTAATAATTTACTTATCTTACAAGCAAATAAATAGGTTATATTATTAGCATTACATAATAAGTAATATTACTAAACACAAAATGCATTTTAAATCTAAACTTACTCTAAATCCTTTAATGGAATATCCTCAGAAAATTCCCTCACAAGCTTAAGTTTCTTAGTTTTCGAAAAATAGGGCGTTAACTTAAATACTACTATTATTATAATTAAAAAAGAATTTTTTCAAAAAGAACAAAAAAATAATTTTTATAAATTTCGCAAATTCTCTTTATAAATTTTACTATATTAATACTTGCAAATACCTAATGTTTAATTAGGATTATATTTATCAATAAGCTAGTTTGCTTACAAAAATACCGTACACTCATTAGCTGATGGTCTTGTACATCTAGAATAATTACTTTTATATGGTTCGCATTTTCCAGCACTTCCATATAGTCTTAAAGGATAATCTGAATTTTAAGTATTGCTTGGGTTAAAGAATTTACCTAAAGGACATAAGATCACTATAAAAGTATACACATTCTATATAGCCATCAACTCTTCCAAATCCAGCTGGACAAATACATTGTAAATTTACACAAACTTCCTTTTTCTGAAACAAGAAATAATTTGGACATATAGGAGGGGTAATAATTACAGTAATTTTTTATAATTTTAAAGACATGTAATTTAACCTTTAGTTTTTTTGGCCACTTTAATGGCGTACTTTTTTATATTTTATTTTCCTTTTCGGCATAAAACTTATAATTTTATCTTTGGTAAATAAACAAAAAATACAAAAATTGGAATAACTAAGAATAAACGAAAATCCTATAGAAGACGCAAGCTTAACTCAAGAATATTCGAACAAAAGCATCTTATTTAAGCCCAAAACCTCATTTAAGAACCTAAAAAAGATTCTATTTATGTATATTTTACAATCTAATTTAATAAAATAACTTTAATCATATAATTATTCCAGCCAAAATAATTTAAATGAAACAAAGATCAAATTAAATGTAAAAAATGCCCCAAAAATATTTATTAGATTATTTATTTTATTTTGAAACAATTGCGGCTTGTTTTTTATCGTAGGAAAGTTAAAATTTCAATAATAAAAAAAGTTTTATTAATTACTAATGGTATGGTATAGCTAACCAAACAAGGTTTTAAATTTTTAAGTAAAGTAGTAAAAAAATTTAAAAAATAAAATATTTAAAAAATAAATAAATATTTGTTGTCTAATTTAAATATTTAAGAAATTAATAAAAATATGATATAAAATTAATAAACAAAAATTCAATATTTAAATGAATTATATTAAAAAATCTAAAATTTAAAATAAAATAATATTAATTTTCTTTTAAATTGATAATTTAAAATAATTTATTATTATAAACATAATATTTATATTAGTTAAAAAAATAATTTTTAATTTTATTTTATTTATAATTTTTTATTAAAAAAATTCAAAAATAAAAATTTATTATACTTTTATAAATATACTAATTTTAACAATTAATATAGTTAAAAATAAAAAAAAATTAACTTAAATAAAACATAATAAAAAAATAGATATTATAAATTTATATATATAAAATTATGATTATTTTAAATCATAAAATTAATGATTCTAATCAAAAACAGCTAATAAAAGAAGGAATTATTATTTAATAGTTTAGCTATTTAATCATTAATAAATTGCTTAAATTTTATGTAAAAATCTAGATCTTGGAATTGTATAGCATTATTTTACTTATTAATTAATTTAATATCCCTCTCTACATTCAGTGCATTCTTTTTATTACATGCTACACAATTAAGGGATTATCTTCTGCAAGTAAAACAAGTTTTATTTTATTTTTTATCTTCCCATATATCATAATAACCATCCCAACATTCTTTACATTCTGCAGAATCATTAGATAAATAACATCCATCTATGTAAAAATTAAGAGAATTTTATTAAATATATTTGCTTTCTTTGCATTATTTATCAGACTTATCATATGAATACCCATCATTACATTTATCGCAAAAACTAGGACTGCATCTTTAGCAATTTCTGAATTTACTACTACAACTAAAACATACTCTATTATAATTTTCGTCTTTATCTAAATAAAAGCCATCTAAACACTGCAAACAGTCAGCTTATCTTAAAACACATGAATCACATCCTTAAATACAAGATTATCCATATCCTATTTAATTATCATATTGATCTCTTTAGCATTAAATAGAATGATAATATGAATAACCTGTCTAACAATTAGTACAATTATATTTATTACATCTTTAACAACCATCGAATTTAGTAGAACAACTAACACAAGTTGTCTCCCCTTATTAGTCAATATTTAAATAATAACCATCCTTACATTCGATACATTTTCTAGATTCAAGACATGTATTACATCCTTCATTGCAATAATCTCCAGTATATTTATCTAAAAAAGAAGTATCTCTGTTGCATTATGTATCAGAATCATGTTGAAAATATCCAGTAGCACATTAAGAGCAACTACTTTGAGTACATTATAAACAGTTACTGAATTTAGTTTGGCAAGAAGCACACTAATGAGTATCTTAAACATAATAATAACCTACTTAACATTCAGAAGAAGCATTTACAACACCATTATTTTATTATTAATTAGATTCTGTCAATATTACCAATATTAATAAGTAAATAAAAATTAGTTTATTGAACATTATTTTTTAATTTTAAAATAATTTTAATATATTTATTTTAATTAATTCATGGTATATGAACGAATATATTTATTTTTATCTATTTTATTTAAATAAATAAATAAATCTTTATGGATATTTATATTAATAATTATAAATAATTTATTTATTAAAATTATTAATTTTATATTTATTAATAAATATTATATTT